GTCCTCACACCTCGTCAAAGGCTCTGTATGCGGTGCATCCCTGCAATCCGAATGGCCGTGAGTGTTTCCCGCTTGGCCCACATGACTCCTCCTCGGGCTTGCATGCCCCCTGTTGCCGGAATCACTTCTCCCAGTCGCATGTGTGCCTTGCGTTGGTCGTTCGTTAGAGGTCTGTCTGTTCCCCGTTGAACTTGTTCTACTGATCGGGCCCCATGTTCCATTACCCCTTGTGGCATAGCCTGATGAACTGCCCCTGCCTCTAGTGGATCCATACGATTTCCTCTTTTGATGTTCATTGAAGTTCACCTTCTTTTGGTCCACTCTTGCTGCTTAGTAGCCCGTCCAACCTATCCATGATAGCCTGAGTTCGCATCTCCATCATCGCGTCTATCTTTGTGTCAAGAAACCCAAGAGACTGCTCTTGCTGAATTCTTAACTTCTCCATGTCGTCTCTTAAGCGTAACTCTTGCTGTTCCGCCTCTCTTGTCATTCGCGACAAGTTCTTCGCCATATGCTCGTCCGTTCTTTCTTTCAAGCGTTTTTCGCTCCTGCCAACTTCTTGTCTATTGCGGTTTATTTCTTCCCGCAGACTTTCTCTTTCAATATGAACTGCTCTTTCTAGTTCACTCATTCTTATGGACATCTGTTCATTTTGTTCTCCTAAACTGTCCACTATTTTGTTTAAGGCTTCCTCTAGTGCTGCCCCGTTGTGGTGGTGTAACCCTGTCGGTCCCAGGTAGCTTCGTGCTGGTCGAGATTCGGGCCTTGACTCTCTGCCTCGACGTCTTTTCATTATCTACCTCATTATCCGCCAATGCGTTGCCTAGCTCTCTATTTCTACTCTCCCCAGCTTGCAGCTCTGAATTTGTCATAATCGCGAAGTCTCTTGACTGGCCCGGTGTGTTTGCCTCTTTGCTTATCGTTCTCACCACACCAAATTTGTCCATGGTTCAACTCTCTCTTCCGACGTATGCCTCATTCTCCTGCCTCAAGTCCCCTTGCTCCTCTTCGTCCTCCTCCTCCTGGGATTCACCTTCATTTCCTGCGCCTCCTCCCATGGTGAATGGAAAGATGTTTCCTGAGGTGTTCCTCATTCTTTCTGAGAACGATGATGACGTTGTTTGTTTCTCAGTCCCGCATGCCATCATAGTGTTGTTTGTCGGAGATCTCCTAGTTGCCGCTATTTCAGTTGAGATGTCGGACAGTTCCGACATCTCCTCTCGATCCAATGTCCCGGTGGAAGTGGCAAAATCATGGCCTTGTTCTACCGGAGTAGATTCACTCGCCAGCCTTCTGCCTCTCCCTTCCAGTCCATGTACTTCCTGGTTGTCGTTCATGGCATGGTCTGTATTGACCTCCACTTCTAACAGTTCTTTTCGCTCTTCTGAGGTCTTCTGACTTCTCGTTTCAACCATTCTGCCCGAAACCGTCTCCCCTTTGTCGGTCCGGGCATGTTTGATCCAATCCACAAAAAGATCGGTCATCTTTTTTCTTTGCTCCTCAGGTATGAATTTCCTAGAGCTATTACCTCGTTTTGGTATCCTTGACTTGTCTAGACTCATTCTCTATTTGTCACTTCTTAATGCCTATACACTTAATTCGATTGCTAGTGACCTTATAGTTCTGTGTACCAATAACAATTGACACAACACAATAATTTTCACAAGATTCTATTAAATAGTGACCACGAATCCCTGTATGTTATCAGAGTACAGTTTGTATAAAATTTATTCACACTAACCGATTATCGGTCGTAAGATTTGAAAACTAGCACAATATGATGTTATCAGTCAATTTAAAAGATAGTGTATTCACTACCCAATCAAGCACAGTTTATGTAGATTTAAAATCAAGAACAAAATAAAAAATATATATATAATGACAGAATATGAATACCTCTATGAAAAAAAAAACGTATGTGTAATGTACTTTTAGTCGGTCGCAGTACAATAGTCGAACTTGTCTTTTAAAGAAAAAGCTTTTCCTGCTCGCTTTCACAAAAACGTATTGTGTTACGATCCACACCAATGAATTTCGCTCTTTTTAGTTTAGACTTAGTGTCGCGAATATCCGAATTCGGACCTGTTTTGTTTTGGTCTGGTTCTTATTGAAAGGCAAGTTACCAGTGCAGTCACTGATTCCTAGCCTGTGTGCTAATAACCTAATACCTCTCACTTTAGTCTTTTTTCCGTCTACCTAAGAAGTCCTCTAATAAAATAATACCCCTCCGGATTGGCACAAATAGGACCCTTCCGGACTAACAAAATTTAGACCCCTCCGGATTGGGACCCCTCTGAGTTAGTTGATATAAGACCCATCCGGATTTGGACCCCTCCGAATTAGCAACTTTAAGACCCCACGCTTACTTTTTTGAAAAACTTTTGTCCCTATCAGAAAGCTCAGCTAATTTTTGATCTATTGGTACCAAGATCAACTCGACATGCCCAGTAGTTCAAAAGTTATTAACCAAAACGTCTTTTTTCTAAACTCAAAAATTTTCTCTCTTATAGGTTCCGCCTAACTTTTTCCGCAAATCTGGTCTTTTCGACCTAAAAATTATTGATCAGAGCTCAGAAGGCCTATACTCTTCTAGTTCAATGCAAAAGACCCGATCTAAAACGCTTTTGTTGAAAAACTTCGCGATAAAATATGCTACCTGTACCCCTCCGGATTGATGAATCCACCAAATCAAACACGTTAAGTTCGATTTCTCTGTAACCCGGAAGGCTTTCGAGTAGCGTGTTTTAAAACCTGTCGATTCACTAGTGAACGTTGTCCTAACAACTGTTTTTACTGTTCTAACTCAAAAATTTCAAAAAATTTTCTGAATTTATAGTGTTTTGTTTTCTCAAAAATCACGAAATTTTGGTTTTTGGTTCCAAAATAGTTCCAACCACTTTCGAACTAAACTTAACCGGTTCTATCTATTATGGTAGTACAGTTACGATGTAACACACTACTTTAGCGCTTTTTTCCGTTTCAAAAAATATCGATATCTCAAAAATCGCGACTTGTGGGGGGATCAAAATATCGCTATTTTGACCCTAAAACCGGTCTGCTTTCTGTGTTTTTCACTGAAAAACGGTATAAGAGTATTAATATAGGCTATATAAGTAATAATCTTGGTAATACTATACCCCTCCAGGTTTGTTTAATATCCGAATTAAGGTGCTTAACTCGGGTATTCGCAGTTCGGTGAAGGGTCACTACAGTGCAGCACTGTCGAGCCCCCCACGGATTACTATCTTAATTTTTGTACCAAAAGGGATACAAAACTTGTTAACGATATCCAACAGTCGATTGTTGTTGTCGTTGAGCCCCTTCTTGTTGCTCCTTGTACTGCTTGCCGGATCAGTCTTCTCCCAAGACCCTTCCGAATTGAGCGCAAATCAGCTGACCCTTCCGGATTGAGCGCAATTTATCATTAACGTGCTTAAATGCTCAAATAACCCTACAGTACAAGCCTCACAAACGTGCTACAAAACTGATCGTAACAATCCTGACTGGTATAAATGCCTGTAACAACAATATATCTATCAACAACAAACGGGAGGGTCGGATCACATCTTGTCTGGGGGGATGATTTCTACTGATTTTTTACTTTTTTACTGTTTTTGGTTTTTTCGGTTATTTTTTATGTTTTTTGTTTTTCTTGGGTACTATACTACTTTTTGTTTAGTGTTTTATATATTTTTAAGTGTTTTTGGTCACAAACCTCTCAGGGAACGAGGGAATGGCCGATCTCCCACCCTTCCTGATTCGTGAGTTTTCGGTCTTAACTAGGTTAAAAAGCTATTCTCGGTAATCCGGAAGGCTTCCGCGTTCCGAACTAACCCTCCGCCCCGGCGGTTTAGGCCTATTAAGGGCGTTAATGTGAGCATCCGCTCGGCGCGGAGTGCTCGTTAACGGTTCTGCCGGTCATGATGTTAAAAAAGAATAACACCCAGGAGCGTCATAAAAACATCTATGTAACATTCGCCCGGAAGATACATATCGACGGAAAATAAAACTAAGTCCTAAGACGACTGGCTAACGTCTAAACAGAGCTTTTTATGCTTTTCACCGTCTCTACCAAGCCAGTACTTTTCGGTGTTCTTTTCTAACATCGGGTCGACAAAAAACGTTACTGCTTTCGGCTTCAGTCAAAACATTCAAATTAACTAGATTACATGCAGAAATAGTGAGCTGATGGCTGGGTCTCAGTATCCCCAGACCACGAGTTCACTCCTAAAAACAGGGCTACTACTATTTATTATATTACTATTGTTTTTGTTCAGTAGATAAAAATCATCATCTCCATCGAAGATGTATCAACCCTTTCCCCCATCTCCTAGCTTCTCATCCTTATCAAAATTAATCATGTTGTTAATTAAATTCAAATCAGGACATGACAGGAAGCTAAAAGTTCATATAATAGGATAAAAGTTTCAGTCTCGAAACCCTTCCGGATTCTTGAATCCACTGAATCAAGCACGTTAAACTTGACTTCTCCGTAATCCGGAAGGCTGTCTTCCACCCTTCACCGTTGTTCGCAACGGCCTTGCAACTATTGTAGCGACACAATAGTTGCAACTCGGAACGTTCTCTATCAGCTCCGTGATTTGTTGTCGTTTTTTTATCACTATTTCCGTTCTTCTCGCAATCGCAGCTAATGTTGTTCTGTTGCTTTTCAGCTTTTCTGCCAAAATGGCCGTTTCTGACGTTTCTCAGAAATGTTACGTAATCACTTCGAAAATTTAAAATTTAGCAATTTCCGAATCCTTCAACCTTCACGTTTTGTTCAATCGTTCGAATAACGTTCTTAATCCTTCAAAATCACTAACTCGGAAGGCTCGCTGCTTAAATGACTAAACTGCAGAGATTGAATTTTTTCCATTCTGGTCGAATGTAACAAATATTTTTTTGGAACTTCATAAGTTTTTAGGTTGGGTAGACAATCCAATGAAAAATTTAAGTCATTTTCAAAACTAGGAAATTTGTCCGCAAACATCACAATTTTCAGATCATAATGAGTAGGGCAAATCCTTTCAATAAAGATCACAAGGCTATCGAAGAGAATGTAGCTGCTCGTTATAAATATTTGAATGAGCTGTGGAATGATGGATCTTATTTCCGATACGCGTACGCGATGTCGAATTTTTTACTGGTTGAAACCCCAGCACATATGTTTTGGCCGCATCAACAACGTCTTATGAACAATTGGCGTGCTAAGCATGGAACACCTGTTAGATATCACGCTGAGTTCCCCAGAGTCAAACGAGCAGACCAATGCGAGACGAATGATTTGCCATGCCTATATGAAGCAAATCAGCAGATGCTCAGAGACAGAATTGTAGATGAAGAAATTGTTCACGTCATGAAGTAACAAACCATAAATTTTAATGACCAAAGGATAAGTAATCAGTGAGAGAGAGAGAATACGATCAAATAAGTTCGCCTGATAGTTGTATTGTTTAAACACGTTTGCCTATATTAAATGATGTCAAAATAGAATTCAGAGAATTAGTTTTAACAGATATGCTAGTCGAAATAGCACAAAAAGGTTAAACTGTCGCTCGAAGAATGAACCTTGCTCGAAGGAGAAGAAAAAACCTAATTTCAATTGTTAATTGTTCGCCAAAGAGCGAACTAAATTTGCTTGCTCTTGTATTTTACGAATGTCAAATTTCAAAGCTAATTAGCTAAAAAACTGGATGGTGGGGGTAGCGAAAACGAAAAAAAAGCACAGGGGGCACAAGTTTTTTCCTAAACTGCAATTGGTTGTCCAAGTACTCATTTCTGCTGTCTTGAGAGGGACTTGTATAAAAATGTTCTTGAAAGTGCTTTGGTTAAAATCAAAAATGGTAAATTACCAAAAGACTATAAAATGCCATTTCAAATGGCATGGAATGTTCAAAAGTCTGGAATTATCAAGAAGTCTGGCGATGATAGGTGGCCGCGGAATTGAGGTAAGAATGAGTTCGAGAATGGAGTCATTAGTGACAATGGGGTTGTTCAGAGGTCTGGGACGGTTGCTTCTTGGGGTTAAAGGGTTTAATATCCTCGGTCATCTAACCAAAAGTAAACTAAACTAGCGGTCCTCCTGCGTAGTTGCGATCAGTCAAAAAGATATATAAGGCCATACCAGCATTATTTATGCATCAAAACGCTTTAGAATGTTAATATTAAGTCGTGGGAAACTTAAATAGCTAAACATTTAATGCATCATCATCAAGTTGAAACATCATCTGACCTTACACGTCCTTCCTCTATGGTACTTTTTGAATGGTTGGTCGATAAAATCAATTGTTTCGAGGTATTTGCGCCCTGATGTGGAAAATAGCAACGCCGTGGAGTGCAAAGCTGATTTTGGTTTTAATATAGTTGATTGTCTCTGGGTAAATTTCATGATGTTTCTAGCTTAGCTAGTCGCTACATTAGTTTCGTGGCTGTGAATTTAGGCGAAGATAATTGGACTAAAGCTGCTTAACCCGGCATCAAAAGTTTGTTTAATTTTTTTTGGTTGTTGCTGTCGTTGATGGATCATTGGCATATGTTTTATGCTTATTTTCGACCATGCATAGTTTTTTTGGCCAATGGAATGTTGAGGCTGCCCTTTTTAAGTAGAAGAGACAAAGACAATTGTTTGCTGCTGACCAACGCTGCCTTTTTTGCCCACTCTTTTCAAGCTTTTGCACGCATTCGGGGTTGCTCTAATAAAAACGAAAGTTCACAGAAAATTTTGCTTGATGACGCTGAGATATAGTGTCAATTTCAAGCACTTAAACCTTGTTTTTTTCAGTAAGTTTGCAATTGATAATTTTTCTCGGGTTAAACATCATTTGTTGGATGTACGTTTATCTGCTCAAGTTTTTGCTTAGTTGCCACGTCACGGATTTTATTGTGCTTTTACCAAGTATTATAGCAGTTGCAGGTGTTGTTAATTGTAGTTTTAAAGGGAAGTTTTTTTAGGGGAAGTTTCATTGTAGTTTCTTTGTTTCGACGCAATTGGTTTAAGCTAAAGATGGTTTTGTTTCCGCTTCGTACGTTCTACCCTGTTGCTAATTTAAAACTGAATTGTCTTGCTTGGCATGTTTGACTAGATTTCTTGTTTAAAAAAACAGGTTTATGAAAATGTATGGAATTGCGTTTTTCCATTTAATATATTTTTTGAGTCGCTTTGGAAACTTTTTCACTCTTTGCACAAGTTCCAGTTTTAAAACAAAAACCATTCTGCCGATTTTCAGAAAAAGGATATCATTGAAAAACAGCTGACTCATCTATGTGCCTGTATTCTCGCCTAGTCTCTTTGGCTCTTTTTCCTACCCAAAATTTTATCTGCAAAATTTTATTTTTAAAATAACTGTTCTAATTGTCCGATTGTCGTGAAAAATGACATGCAGACTAATTAGGCCATGGCAAACATGTTTAGTCTTCATAATCAACCTTATATGACCACTCGTTACACCATAAAATTGATGCTCATGTGAGGTGGGTGGGAAAGGAAAAAGCCGTCTCTTTTTACCTTACCCCTCTCTCTACAGTCTTCGAGAAAGTCGGGAATATTTGAATTATTTTTTTGATGTTTTGATTTTCCCAAAAAATGCCCTCTCAAATCTGAGATTTTGGTTTCAATGAATAGGAAGTGTTTTGGAAAGCTGCCCTGTTTTAGCTGGCACTCAATTTTTTTTTAATTGAAGTTATCGGCATCGGAAAAGTCAAATTTTTGATGTTTTTACTGTTTTTTGAATATATTACAAGATATATGCAAAAGATTCAAAAAACGGTCAAATCATCAAAAATGTGAGTTTTTCCGAGGTCAATATTTGTTAGTGTAAAACTATACTATTGTGATTGGCCGCCAATACAGAAGATATGTATATGTATGTTTTTGTAAGATATATGTTACGCTCTTGGAAAAATTCCAATTTCTCAAAAAGTTTTGCTCTCATCGCTTATTGTTCGGACTTTCGATACGAAAGTAACGGAATATTTGTGCTCAGGTTGGGTTTTTTTTCTTCTGACAAATTTCGACATTTTAACTGGCCATTTTTGGCGGAATTTTTTTATATCATTCAAGAAGTATTGTTGTCCTGAGCTCAAATTTGAAAAGATATTTCACCTGTGATCTTTTTTTTGTAAACTTTTTTTGGCTTTTTGATTACCATTTTGGCCAACTTAGGACAATTAAATTGCGATATATTTCGCACTATTAACGTGTAAGCGGAGAGTTAATCCGTCTTAAAATCGTTCCAAATTGGTTGAAAGAAGCTTTATTTGCCATAATTGATTTGTTACAAGGAGCTAAATCTGTTCTTTTTTACTTTATATGGCGTGTGGGGTGATGATTTTCAAAGAAAAATCCAAATTTTAGAAAAAAAATTTCCTTTCATTTACTTTAATTTACATTTAATTTAATTTTTTACGTTATTACTGCTCCATAAACCTTAAAGTTGGGGAAAGGCAAATAATAACCAAGTGATTCCTGGTTCCTTGAACTTTTTCAGCGTTTTTCGAATTTTTGTTTTTTGTATTCTATGTTTGTATTCTATGGCAAGTGGTGCGAAGCTCCGCGTGTTATAAGTTAAAAATCTTTTCTGTTTGGCCATGTTTTTCACAATAAGTTGGAATTTTGATGCTTTTTCATAATATGCGCAGTGGTTTTTGTGACGAACAATGTTGTTGTTGTTCTATAAGGACAGTGACTGTGTTTATTTAGAACCCGTTACGATCGGTGCATGGCTGAGACGGGACACGACTCTCGGTTGGAAAGGTGTGAGGAATACAAGAGACGTGCATACACTGCCATGGACCTGTTCGACATCAAGTACGGAGATCTGTCATTCAGTTCCAATGCAATCTCCGTTTTGCAGGTAGGGTGCACGAGACAATTGTTGCGACCAAAAACTAATTCTCGAAACCCTTGATTAGCTTTTAAAACTGTTACAACAACTGCAATTATTGCTATCCAGAGTGCTTTGAAAAATTATAGTCATTCAATTTAACAAAGAAATTCACATTTTATTTTTGCATTGCTTCAAAAAGTCATTCTTGCTGCAATGAATTGTTTGAAAGTTGTTTACTCGGTGTTGAGCAAAACTGGTCGCTTTTTAATTATTCACCGCGTCTGTTTTTATTCATTTTTTTGGGAGTTCAAAACTACATCAGATCATAATTTTTTGAAGCCGCTTGAAAATCTGCTTAGTGACAAGTACAGATGGACGCTGTGGGGCTTTCTAAAGTAGCACATGTGAACTATCCGACCCCCCCCCCCCCCCCCAACAAACGAAAGGCAAATAAGAACCAAGTGAACTATCTCCCCTAAATCAATTGGGAAGGGGGGGGGGGGGTTGAAGGGTAGATTGTTTAATTGTCTCCCCTAAAAGTCTCTCTGCGACTGATTTTGACCAGAATAAGTGTGATTATTTCAGAAGCAGAAACACAGACTGATGCGTGAGAGAGACGGCACCCAGGTGTATCCTCCGTACACAATTGAAATCACGGGTGCAATGTACGAAAAAGTGCACCCTTCGGAGTCCGTGAACAAAGAGTACCCCATCAATCCTTTCCCATTGCCTAAAAACTTCACGTACAACGGAAAACTGAAAAAGACAGCTGGAACTGGAAGCACCTGAACGAAGATGAGCAATTAGTAAACAAGAAGAACTGACTAAACATTTAGTCATTGTCAGTGACGAATTTAAAAAACTATTGACAATTTAATGTACTTGTAATGACTGAATAGATTAAAACAATTCGGTGCATATTTTTTTTTAAGTCACCGTCTCAAAGCAGTTTTTTACCGGAGACATAGATATAGATGGTTTTTTAATACAAACATTGATTTGTAGTCAAGTTGAGGTTGTCATGCAATTTCAATTCAAGGGTTTGGATCTTGAAAATTCGGATTTGTCTTGTGTCATCAAGAATTGTCGATCTTGAAAACCTTGTTTTTTGCCGAAAATATTTGGTTTTTAATTTTTTTGTTAGTATACCACTTGGGTTCCAGTTTCTTTTGGTTGCCCTCAAGTTTTAGTGAAATGTGATTTTGTTTTACTTTAATGGGTCCATAAATACCTTTGTCTTACCCCTTTGGAAACGGTAATGTATCTTAAATTGCTCCTTTGATTTTCACGTATCGTTAAGTGCGTTTGTTTTAGCAATGTTTCTTCTGTAATTACGGTTTTCAAAAAATAACACGTTTGCGATTAGCAAGGTTATCAAATCGGAACAATAGTTGCTTTTCGGTTAGTTTGTCTTACAGAATTTTTCAAATATTTAAATGCGGGCTTCACTGGCTCGACAGGTCAAGTTTTCAATTGTTCAATACAATTCAGTTTTTTATATATATTTAAATGCGGGCTTCACTGGCTCGACAGGTTAAGTTTTCAATTGTTCAATACAATTCAGTTTTTTATATATATTTAAATGCGGGCTTCACTGACTCGACAGGTCAAGATTTCAATTGTTCAATACAATTCAGTTTTTTATATATATTTAAATGCAGGCTTCACTGGCTCGACAGGTTAAGTTTTCAATTGTTCAATACAATTCAGTTTTTTGTATATATTTAAATGCGGCCTTCACTGGCTCGACAGGTTAAATTTTCAATTGTTCAATACAATTCGTTTTTTCATATTAATTTGAATGCGGGCTTCACTGGCTCGACAGGTTAAGTTTTCAATTGTTCAATACAATTCAGTTTCTTATATATATTTAAATGCGGGCTTCACTGGCTCGACAAGTTAAGTTTTCAATTATTCAATACAACTCAGTTTTTTTATATATATTTCAATGCGGGCTTCACTGGCTCGACAGGTTAAATTTTCAATTGTTCAATACAATTCGTTTTTTCATATTAATTTGAATGCGGGCTTCACTGGCTCGACAGGTTAAGTTTTCAATTGTTCAATACAATTCAGTTTTTTATATATATTTAAATGCGGGCTTCACTGGCTCGACAGGTTAAGTTTTCAATTGTTCAATACAATTCAGTTTTTTATATATATATTTAAATGCGGGCTTCACTGACTCGACAGGTTAAATTTTCAATTGTTCAATACAATTCGTTTTTTCATATTAATTTGAATGCGGGCTTCACTGGCTCGACAGGTTAAGTTTTCAATTGTTCAATACAATTCAGTTTTTTATATATATTTAAATGCGGGCTTCACTGGCTCGACAGGTTAAGTTTTCAATTGTTCAATACAATTCAGTTTTTTATATATATATTTAAATGCGGGCTTCACTGACTCGACAGGTCAAGATTTCAATTGTTCAATACAATTCAGTTTTTTATATATATTTAAATGCAGGCTTCACTGGCTCGACAGGTTAAGTTTTCAATTGTTCAATACAATTCAGTTTTTTATATATATTTAAATGCGGGCTTCACTGGCTCGACAGGTTAAGTTTTCAATTATTCAATACAACTCAGTTTTTTATATATATTTATATGCGGGCTTCACTGGCTCGACAGGTTAAGTTTTCAATTGCTCAATACAATTCAGTTTTTTATATATATTTAAATGCGGCCTTCACTGGCTCGACAGGTTAAATTTTCAATTGTTCAATACAATTCATTTTTTCATATATATATTTAAATGCGGGCTTCACTGACTCGACAGGTCAAGATTTCAATTGTTCAATACAATTCAGTTTTTTATATATATTTAAATGCAGGCTTCACTGGCTCGACAGGTTAAGTTTTCAATTGTTCAATACAATTCAGTTTTTTATATATATTTAAATGCGGGCTTCACTGGCTCGACAGGTTAAGTTTTCAATTGTTCAATACAATTCAGTTTTTTATATATATATTTAAATGCGGGCTTCACTGACTCGACAGGTTAAATTTTCAATTGTTCAATACAATTCGTTTTTTCATATTAATTTGAATGCGGGCTTCACTGGCTCGATAGGTTAAGTTTTCAATTTTTCAGTACAATTTAGGTTTTTATAAATTTTTAAATGCGGGCTTCACTGGCTCGACAGGTTAAGTTTTCAATTGTTCAATACAATTCAGTTTCTTATATATATTTAAATGCGGGCTTCACTGGCTCGACAAGTTAAGTTTTCAATTATTCAATACAACTCAGTTTTTTATATATATTTCAATGCGGGCTTCACTGGCTCGACAGGTTAAGTTTTCAATTGTTCAATACAATTCAGTTTTATATATATATTTAAATGCGGGCTTCACTGGCTCGACAGGTCAAGTTTTCAATTGTTCAATACAATTCAGTTTTTTATATATATTTAAATGCGGGCTTCACTGGCTCGACAGGTTAAGTTTTCAATTGTTCAATACAATTCAGTTTTTTATATATATATTTAAATGCGGGCTTCACTGACTCGACAGGTCAAGATTTCAATTGTTCAATACAATTCAGTTTTTTATATATATTTAAATGCGGGCTTCACTGGCTCGACAGGTTAAGTTTTCAATTATTCAATACAACTCAGTTTTTTATATATATTTATATGCGGGCTTCACTGGCTCGACAGGTTAAGTTTTCAATTGTTCAATACAATTCAGTTTTATATATATATTTAAATGCGGGCTTCACTGGCTCGACAGGTCAAGTTTTCAATTGTTCAATACAATTCAGTTTTTTATATATATTTAAATGCGGGCTTCACTGGCTCGACAGGTCAAGTTTTCAATTGTTCAATACAATTCAGTTTTTTATATATATTTAAATGCGGGCTTCACTGGCTCGACAGGTTAAGTTTTCAATTGTTCAATACAATTCAGTTTTTTATATATATATTTAAATGCGGGCTTCACTGACTCGACAGGTCAAGATTTCAATTGTTCAATACAATTCAGTTTTTTATATATATTTAAATGCGGGCTTCACTGGCTCGACAGGTTAAGTTTTCAATTATTCAATACAACTCAGTTTCTTATATATATTTAAATGCGGGCTTCACTGGCTCGACAGGTTAAGTTTTCAATTATTCAATACAATTCAGTTTTTTATATATATTTAAATGCGGGCTTCACTGGCTCGACAGGTTAAGTTTTCAATTGTTCAATACAATTCAGTTTTTTATATATATATTTAAATGCGGGCTTCACTGGCTCGACAGGTTAAGTTTTCAATTGTTCAATACAATTCAGTTTTTTATATATATTTAAATGCGGGCTTCACTGGCTCGACAGGTTAAGTTTTCAATTATTCAATACAACTCAGTTTTTTATATATATTTATATGCGGGCTTCACTGGCTCGACAGGTTAAGTTTTCAATTGCTCAATACAATTCAGTTTTTTATATATATTTAAATGCGGCCTTCACTGGCTCGACAGGTTAAATTTTCAATTGTTCAATACAATTCAGTTTTTCATATTAATTTGAATGCGGGCTTCACTGGCTCGACAGGTTAAGTTTTCAATTGTTCAATACAATTCAGTTTCTTATATATATTTAAATGCGGGCTTCACTGGCTCGACAAGTTAAGTTTTCAATTATTCAATACAACTCAGTTTTTTTATATATATTTCAATGCGGGCTTCACTGGCTCGACAGGTTAAGTTTTCAATTGTTCAATACAATTCAGTTTTATATATATATTTAAATGCGGGCTTCACTGGCTCAACAGGTCAAGTTTTCAATTGTTCAATACAATTCAGTTTTTTATATATATTTAAATGGGGGCTTCACTGGCTCGACAGGTTAAGTTTTCAATTGTTCAATACAATTCAGTTTTTTATATATATATTTAAATGCGGGCTTCACTGACTCGACAGGTCAAGATTTCAATTGTTCAATACAATTCAGTTTTTTATATATATTTAAATGCAGGCTTCACTGGCTCGACAGGTTAAGTTTTCAATTGTTCAATACAATTCAGTTTTTTATATATATTTAAATGTGGCCTTCACTGGCTCGACAGGTTAAATTTTCAATTGTTCAAAACAATTCATTTTTTCATATTAATTTGAATGCGGGCTTCACTGGCTCGACAGGTTAAGTTTTCAATTGTTCAATACAATTCAGTTTTTTATATATATTTAAATGCGGGCTTCACTGGCTCGACAGGTTAAGTTTTCAATTATTCAAAACAACTCAGTTTTTTATATATATTTATATGCGGGCTTCACTGGCTCGACAGGTTAAGTTTTCAATTGCTCAATACAATTCAGTTTTTTATATATATTTAAATGCGGCCTTCACTGGCTCGACAGGTTAAATTTTCAATTGTTCAATACAATTCATTTTTTCATATTAATTTGAATGCGGGCTTCACTGGCTCGACAGGTAAACTTTTCAATTGTTCAATACAATTCAGTTTCTTATATATATTTAAATGCGGGCTTCACTGGCTCGACAGGTTAAGTTTTCAATTATTCAATACAACTCAGTTTTTTATATATATTTCAATGCGGGCTTCACTGGCTCGACAGGTTAAGTTTTCAATTGTTCAATACAATTCAGTTTTATATATATATTTAAATGCGGGCTTCACTGGCTCGACTGGTTAAGTTTTCAATTGTTCAATACAATTCAGTTTTTTATATATATTTAAATGCGGGCTTCACTGGCTCGACAGGTTAAGTTTTCAATTGTTCAGTTTAATTCAGTTTTTTTTATATATATATATTTAAATGCGGGCTTCACTGACTCGACAGGTCAAGATTTCAATTGTTCAATACAATTCAGTTTTTTATATATATTTAAATGCAGGCTTCACTGGCTCGACAGGTTTAGTTTTCAATTGTTCAATACAATTCAGTTTTTTATATATATTTAAATGCG